CTCGTGTGCAGCGTAACAGCAGCACAGTGATGCGCGTTTGGAAGCAGTGGACGGTCGAGTGTCGGACAACTCGGAAATCCGGGAGTGGACCCCGAAATGTGACGTCAGCTCGCGATGATAGACACCCCTGGTCCGCATGGCGCGGACGGACCGTACAGCTTCCTCTAGACAATTGGCAGCACTGTGGTCAATAGCTACAGGTGTTTCATTGTGTGCTTCATCAATTCGTAACGTCTGCTGCAGTGTGGACTGCGCGCACGGACTCCTTTATACAGGATCCCCCTAACGCACGGACCATCGCCGCCTGCGGCTACAATGGGCCAATCAGCATAGAGACTGGCGTGCTGATTGGCAGCATGTCGTGTTTTCTGACGAATCCCGCTTTAATTTGTGGTACCATGATGGCCGCATTCGTGTCAGACGCTATGCCGGTGAACGCCACCTTTCCGGAGTGCATTATCGAACGCCACAGTGGACGAACACCCGGAGTTATGGTCTGGGGCGCCATAGCATATCATAGACGATCTCAATTGCTACGAATTGTGGGCAATCTGAACAGCAACCGGTACATCCGTGAAGTTCTACAGCCCGAAGCTGTTCCCTTCCTTCAAAGCTTGCCAGGCGCTGTATTTCAACAGGACAATGCCCGCCCTCATACTGCTCGGATTGTTAAATCCTTCTTTGCAGCGCAGCAGGTACAGCTTCTTCCTTGGCCTGCGTGTTCCCTGGATATGTCGCCAATTGAACATGTGTGGGATGTCATTGGTCGGCGTCTTGCTCGTGATCCTCGTCCTGTTGCGTCTGCAGACGAACTTTGGGTACGCGTACAAACGATATGGAATGCTCTTCCTCAGTCAGACATTCAAACTTTGTTTGACTCCATGCACACGCGTGTGTAGCAGCACTTATGCGGCGCGTGGTGGCCACACAAAATACTGATTTTGATCTTGTTCTTGTTTGTTTGCTTTGAACATTTAATCATTTATTTGTACCACAACCACACAACTGTGTATTAAATTGCATTAAAATGACGATTCCTTCTTGGTGTTGCAATTTTCACAAACGTGAGTGTATAAGACAAGGAACGTTTTTTCAGCAAGTGAGCAAATATATATATATATAGCTATATATATATATATATATATATATATGTTACCGTGAAAGACCGAAATTTTGAGAATGTCGACTTTCACAGGAGAATTTCAATATTCACCAAATACGTCGGTGAAAGATCGAATATTCAATACATTCGGACCTTCCCCGGTGTATTCGACAATCAACAGATATGCTCTGGTGTAGTCAAAAAGAGAGGAGTATATGTACACGCCTGACATTGCAAAAGGCAGTGTTCCACAAATAAATGCAGTTTGTAAAAGCAAGGGCCCTTTGTGCAATTCAAAGTGCATAGTAGTTTAAGTTGTTATAATAAATAAGATTTGAATCACATAATTTGGTAAGTTTATAACTTCTATTATTTTCCTTTGTCATTTTGAATGCACTGTGTGTTTTAAGTTCTTATGTTCTTAAGTTTTTATTTTAAGGCTCAAGTGCGTTTTTTCGCTACTGAATTACGGAAAAGAAAATATAATATTCTTAGATGTTTAACATTCACCATTAGTACATGGTGAATGTCGACACTAACCGGTGTAAGTCAGAAATAAGAGTATTCGAAAAATATTTCGGACATACACCAAGCGACTATGTGAATGTTGACATTCACCGGTGAATGTCGACATTCTCCAGATTTCTGTGTTTCACCGTAACATATGTATATATATCGTTGTAAAACACATAATGGGCGAACATGATTACGGTGGGAACTATATTTTAATTTTATAACAGTTATTTTAATTTCAATGTACTTTCCTATCGATTCTTGTTTTCATTTTCAACTCCCTAGCAGAATAAGTTTTTAGAATTGCGTTAAATGCAAATGAGTTAGAAGTAGTATTTAAGGAAGGTTTAAGTTACTTCAAGAGAGAGAGCTAGGAGTCCTTAGTAGAGCGTGTAGGCCTTCGGGCTAAGTTAGAAGAAGCGGCTAATCTTTGGAATATGGTAACAGGTAGTTTGGCGGCATTTTGGTAAGGCGATAAAGGTTACTAGATAGGACTTTAGCAGTGCACATGGATAAAGTCAAGAGTGTGCGCAATGCCATTTTTTGTGCCATTCTGGGATTTTTTTTAAGTGAAAATAGGTCGACGTGTACATGGATACCGTGTATGTGCAATTCTTAAAAACGCGGCAAGCAGTGGGCGATTTTGCACTTTCTCCCAATTTCGCACCTAATCTTCGTCATGATTAAGCACTTTTGTTCCATAAAAGTCCTATCATAAGCGTAATTCGGCTATCAGATTCTTAGAAAAAAATGTTGAGTAGTAAAAAAAAAAAAAAAAAAAAAAAAAAAAAAAAATGCTTTTACTTAGTAAAAACAAAATGGCGTTCAAAAAAAAAACATGCTTTTATTTAGTGAAAACAAAATGGCGTCCAAAAAAAAAATAGTAGCATATTGCTGTAGCAGGGTTGGTCGCCAAATTTTCGCCAAAAAATCGCCAATTTACCATAATTTGACGATTAACCGAAGAAGCTTCTGGAAGCTGTTACGCTCGGCCCTATATTATGTGACTTTCGATATTCGCCGGCTAGTTTAAATTAAGGACCAACTTACGTTAGATTCGTGTTAACTTCGGCTAAGTCTCTTTTAGTTGGTTCTAATTGAGTTCTTATTTCTTATTTTGAGTTGAAGCCCGAGTGGAGGCTTTGTTGTAAACCAGAGAAAGGAGCCGACTGTTCGTATTATTTTGAATGAAATAAAGGGTAGTTAACCTTTCTTGAGTCCACTACTTTTGTTATTTGAACTCGGCGATAAATCGCTTAATAGTTCACTGGGTTCCTTGACATTCATTTAGTAGAAAAAGAGTGAGGAACTCTACAACGGCGTGCATTCCCTATGCTTTAATTTTTTTTTTTAATGTTACAAATTAGCAAAAGGGAAAAACATTGCATGAAACAAATACTACAGATTGAAAAACTATTAACTGCCTCAATATATCAGTGCATGGTAAAATATTTCTAAGAAAAACGTTATAAAGGATTCCTTCCCTTTTTTAATGTTAAACAGTCTGTCGTGTCTTTCACGTTATGGGCGAGAGTAAACCTTTTAACAACGGCTATGTTATTGGTTACAGTATTTTGCAATATCGAAAAGTTTTCCTGTGTTTGAGGTTATCTCTTTCGATTAGTTTTAGGTTTTCAACATTCCGATACAGACTTGAGTTCGGGGTCTGTTGCATAACATACGAAATGAAATTTGCTGCGTTTATTAGGGAATTCTTTCAATTTGCTGTTAGTTCAGTTCAATCAAGTTAGACCTCTACTGTCAATATAACTTCATGAAAATGAGGCTCCGTGTGTTTGAGTTTGCGATGTTCGATCTTCAAACGCGTCCAAATTTTGGAAAGATTTCAGGTTTATCTTTGACATGCAGATAAGTACAGATTTTTAATATTATTGTAGCTGTGTCTAATTTGTAAATATAAATGTAAATAAAATTACACTAAATTTTCAAAAATTTCCAGAATGGTAATTTTATTTTGTTGTAATTGACTACACATTCTATGTCCGAGTCCATTCTAGTCGGGTACGCAAAGAAATTAATACCTAGCTATAAGGATATTTTAAGTTTTGCTATACGAGACAATCATTTCATCGTAACCATTGTTAGCTCTCGTTAGTGCAATATACATTTTTTTAACTTGTCTTTTCAAAGACTTATTATTTTTATCAGGTTTTTAAACTTAAGTAGGTATTTGGAATGAATAACAAGAGTTTTTAAGTTAAACTTTGGCGTGAAATTTAACCTTTTGTCCTCAGGAAGTGATCTATTCACCCAAAATTAAGGAATTGTTCTGTATCTTAATTTATGTAGGAAATTTTTGCAGTTCGCGTTGAACACAATTTGTGATTTTGTGCAGCTACATTTGTTATCAAGAATGTTGCTTTGTAATGAGACTTTGCAGCCTAACTGCCAATGAGCTATGCTAACATTGTTGCGAGTTCTTCCCTTTACCAGGATATAGGGCTTTTAGTTGTAAAAGTAAGTCAAATAAATACAAAATCTATTCAATTGCAACTTTAGTTCAAAATTAAAATGTAGTATGCAGTTGCTTCCAGTGTTACTGAACTTATAAATCACGATATAATAAACTAAGACTCCCTTCCACGAGCATCTACCACAAACAATCTAGCTTAATAAAGGAGCGCATTTGCCAGTATAAATTTGCAATTGAGAACCATTCATATTTAAATGACTTGTGCATAATAATTTCAGTTTGTATAAGATATAATTCTGAGAACACATTTGGATTGGAAGCCATGGAAGTGTACAAGTTAGACCTTTACTGTCAATATAACTTCGAAAGTATTTATTACAAGTGAGTTTATCATAAATATCTATTTTTATGATATGACTTCTGCAAATACTAGATCAGTCAAAAGAAGGCAGAAATTTTGACCAAACTTCGAAGAGCTAGATTCATTGTACCTGCTGTCTTATTCTTTACTGTGAATGGCTATGATATATATATACGACGAATGAGAACTTATAAGAAAGTCTGAAGCAAACAAACAATGCATGCAGAACATTTATTTGCCAATAACAATAGGTGTTCCTTGTCCACACGGCATTTGATGTGTTTTTTTTTTTTTTTCATTTTCGGAATGTGTCCTAATTATTTTATTTTTACTTTTTCTCCCTTTTTTCCCTTTTACAATAAATAAGAAATAAGAAAAGAAAAGATTTGTAATATTTTACTAATTAATATTATTTGCAACTGATAACTGATTAATAGTAATATGCAAGTGATAATTGATTTATAGTAATTGTATTGACATTTTAATGAATATTAATGGAATGGCACAGACCACTAATTTTAAATTACGTTTCAGGAACGATTTCAGGATACCCTAGGAGCCGTGCATATTATTGGCTACAGTCTCGGGGCACATGCTGCGGGATTTGCTGGAAAACAAGTCAGAAAAAGGTAAATATTTTAGTTGATCGTATCACAGGTAAGTTAAATATTTTTTTTTAGTCTATAAAGAAACACAAAATATTTCTATTTAAATTTACTTAATTAGTCGTAATTCTAAACAATACGATTTTAAACTGACTGACTTTTCAGGCTTCAAGCCAGTTGACACCCAAGATTTAGAAGAGAGGAGGTAGTTCATAGAGTTTACCCCTCTGAAACAGGAAGTGATAAAATGATGAAGTAGTCATGTTAACAATGATTGCAAAGATGCAAAGAATTTTTCAAATTCTTTTTTTCAAATTTTTCCTATTTAAAACGCAAGAATAATTTAACACAAGAATAAAAGCAATTTAAAACGCAAAGAATTTTTCAAATTTTTTGCTGCGTTTTAAATTAAAAAAAAAAAAAAAAAAAAAAAGCCTTTAAAATCATTGTGCGTGAAAAAGTACCTTTAATTTAGAAGATAAGGTGTTATTACTGTATGCATTTATAAAGTTTAAAAAGTAAATAAAACTTATTTTTTAACTTTAAAATAATAGATAAAATACGCTATGTTTTCTTAAAAGTTGCAAGTTTTGTTTCCTATGCATTTATTATTAAATTAAAAAGAAAACCTATTGCATTCACTATCTTTTCTTCATCTGCATACTAAGTGGCAGAATAACAGCTTTTAAAGTTAGGGGAGAAATCTTAGTTCGGCATAGTTTTGAAAATTGACATGTATGTATATATATATATATATATATGTCAATTTTTTCTTCTGCAGCTAAAGAAGAGGAACTTATCTTTGATTGCTCTTAAAATCCATAGTTTTATTCAAAATTTAATCTAATCTAAGATTGCTTTTTTGACCTAACTATGAATTTTACACTACTATTTTGTTCAATTTCGATTCAACATTAGATTCAAAATGATAACTTTAGGGTTAGAATTTTTTTAGGACTTTCCGAAGCTTTCTTACTAAAATCTTCACATTTAAAACATTTAACTCGCTTATCCTGTGGATACAATATTTAGAAATATAAATTTTCAAACAACAATTAAAGCAAATTTTATTCTTATGACCTTCAAAACTGTTGTGTTTCACTTTCGTAGGTTTACTACACTATATTTTTATTGGCATTTTCGTCTTTCGAGTTTAGCTCTAGCGTTCAAATTATGTTTCGTTTTCGTTCTACTGAAAGCACCTTTACTTTTTGCAAAATTGCCTTCCATTACTTTGTACACTTTCAATTTTTCTTTAAATAAATTTTTATATCCGTACAAAATAATTATATTTTCGTGCCTGTCATTTATTTTTTTTTTATAGCAAAATACTTTAAGTCAGCGTCATCTATTTCTCCAAAATTACATAATTTTTTCTTCTTTTTAAGAAATATTCCTGAGAGGACTCATTAATCGCGCATTTTTCTTTTACTTAACACTTAGTATAAATTAGCTGAATTTATTTCAAGCCAGAATTCATCAATCAAGGTTTTTCTTGGTTTCTGCCGTGGAATAATTTCCGGTTCTTTTCAAACAAATAATGCAGTGCTCTCGCCGAGTTAGAACGGGTAAATTTTTGTAAATTTGACAAATTAATAATTTAGAAGTATTCTCCAAAATACTCAACCCAGTGACCAACATTTTCACACGATTCTGCATTAAACTTTGTAATCGTGCTTTCTTTATCAGAATAATTATTGTTATCACTCCGAATTATAGAATTTCCTTTGATTATATTTTTGAAAGCAAAGCCACACAATACAGAGGAATCAGTTATTTTCCTACTCAAAAATATTGTGCTTCAATCAAAAATCGTTTTTTTTTTTCTTTTTAGCTCGAACGAGCATTAGCCCTGAAAGACTATTGGTCTCTAACCTGGATTTTGCATTGAACCACTATAAAAGTCTGAATCTATTTTCAAATTGTTACAACCAAATGCTATCGCCCTCTATTATATTCAAAGAAGCTAAATAATGAAGAATTTGCATGAATGTGTGCATATTGCTTGCATTGTGAGAAAAAAAAACGGTACCTAGAGTCATCAATTTTTGAATAACGTAATCCTTCACCTGAATATGCACACCGGGAAGCACACAAGGCAAGGCTTCTAGGACGAATAATTACCTTGCAAGATGTAAAATTTGAAGTTTTATATTTGTTTCGATAAACTTTTCAATTAGATCAAATATATTAAAGATTCACTATTAATGTGGAAAAATTTTTCATAAATTTGCAGGTTTGGGTCTGGCAGGGAACACAAATCCATCCATTGAATTAGGAATTTGTTTTATTGTGTATTACATATTATGTAAAACTTTAATGTTAATTTTTCACTAACAAATTCAGTGGTTTCAGATCAGGCAATGGCAACACTGTACGGAAAACACCATTTCCATCTCAAGCGCGAGACTGTGTACCGGAAATTCTAAGGATATGCTGTTTTTAAATATTTTTAGCACAATGTGGCGTTAGTCTAAATGCTCTCGAAACATGTATGTGTATGTAAATGAAAAAAATTCCTCTTTGGGCATAATATAAAATCTGAAAGCTTTTAGATATTTTTTTTTAATTATTTCTCCTGTTTTTTCCGATACATCGGAGCCTCCAAACCAAGGCCATCAAGATGGCCTTGGTTTGGAGAAAACTTGAAGTGCACAGAAAATATAGGAATAAAATGAAGGTAACTTTTGTTTAGTCGGATGACATGATTTGAAGATGTTGGAAAGCAAACCGATGAAGATTTACGGTAAACCGTAGTACTGAAGTTGGATGTGTTACGTGTGACCAGAATGTCGAGGAACAGAAGACACTTGCATGTCTCAAGTTCAAAAGTGAACTGAATAGCAGGATCAATGGAATTGATTGTTGAAAGAACTTTATTTAAATCATCTTTATTACCTTCAAACAGGGTAAAAGTACAGTCTACGTAGCGGAACCATACCGGGAAGTTTCAAGTTTCCATTAGTCTTCGTCAGAAATATTTTAATAGCTGTGACTTACCTCTCGACCATTTAATCGGAAGTGAGGTCAATATTAATTTATTTTATTATTTAAACGAGACTGGCGTTTATTATCTAATGTAATTTGTTTTGAAGACTGTGTCCTGAATTTTAATGTGTGCTTTTAACTTGTTTTTATATGACTTCATCCTCTGGATTTGGTACATTTCTCTACTTGTTTTTATTTATTGAATTTTAATGTCATCTATTGTAATCATCCCATCTCGTGTTTGGCGCGCTATAATCATCTTTGGTTTTTGCGCCATAATCTCTCACTCACTCAAGTTTCCATTAATTTTGATTTGATTTGTTTTCGTTTGAATTTTGTTGTTTGACTTCTAAATTAATACTTGTTCGGCGTGTTATTTATCTTAATTATCTAAATACCTCATAAAGTAGCTTTGAAGTTCGCTATAGTCAACACTCGTCAACAGCCATCTGAATATGATTCCATTTCTGATGAAAATACAGTGTTAATAATGACGGTAGAAATTAAATCCACGGCTGCTTGATTTAGAAAGATGTTTTTAATGGACTAAAAAGCACATAAAATACAAATATATAAAATATTATTTGAATAATGTTGGCATCATACATCTAGTTTTTTTATATTTTCAATTCTCGTAGTTGCTAATTTCAAGCAGTCATTCTTCCACGTTCGACGTCTGCACCATATACATGTATTTTCTCTTAAAATATTTCTTCACTATATATATATGTAACTGTCTTTTTCTCCTAGGTCTGGATCCAGCAGGTCCTGGTTTTCGTTACAAAACAAGGGACAGGCGTCTAGATAAAACAGACGCTCGTTTAGTCGATGTAATACATACCAATGGCGCTGATGATATTTTAAAAGGTATCCCTCTTTATTATCTATAACCAAATAAATTCAGGAGAAAGTCTTTTCATCAAAAACATTGAGTTCGAAAAAATGTTCATTTATGTTGCTTTATGTTAAATTTTAACAATACTCCTAAAATCCGTATTCAGTGAAGCTTGTTTTCATGATTTTCTTAGAAATGGGAAATGTAACAAGCTGGAAATGCTGCTTTATAATGACTGTAAAACTGAATGTAGTTAATGCAAATCTGAATATCGTAAATATATTTAGGCTTATCACTAAGGAAATCTCTATTCTACTTTTCGATTTTAGACTAAATGTTAATTTAATCTTATAGTTTGGGAAATATTTTTGCCATATTATTTACTTCTCAGATATTTTTAAACTGCCATTTAAAACTACTTTGCTATTATCGCAGTTTCTTTGGAAAAAGGAAAGCTTTTAATCCCCCTTTGGCGCTAAGACTTTAAGTGACGTCTTGAAAATTTAAATGATTGTTATTCAAAGTGTTTTTTTTATTATTATTATTTTCTTGGAAAATAATTAAAATAAAATCCTATTATATATAATACTTTGGAAAATATAAGACATCTATAAATGAAATTAATTTTAGAGTAAAATAAAAGGAAAAAAGAATAATCATAGGAGAAGGTTCCAGTTGTGCAACCGAAAGCAGCGTTTTGGAGTGAGAAGAGGTGGCCTTAGTTATTTCAAGAGTCATAAGTAAGGATAATGTCTCACTCCAGATTGCTCAAACTCGGAAATATTTCCAGGAAAATTTTGCAAAATACACTAGAACTAAATGGTAAAAACTAAAAATAACGTATAAAGTGGAGCATATTTTTTACCTAAGATTCAAGTAAATGAAAGATGTCTAAACCACTCAATTGAGCAAAATTCTAGACTCCTTGATCATGATGTGAAATGTGGGAATGCAAGAACGGAATCCTGTTCAAGACTGCATCTTAATTTTTTAATGCACCTTTTTACAGTCCTTATTTCGAAAATTTTGAAAATGCATGCGAGGTAAAATCCTACTTGCGATGTTTCTTCATGAAAGGAAGTCTGAAAATTCAAAACGTTTTATTAACGCACGATGTTAAAACATTTTACTAACGCACGACATCAAAACATTTTACTAACACACGACATCAAAACACTTTACTAACGATGCAAAATAATATCGAATTTTTTCTGCGTGATGTGAGAGAAGAAACATCTTCAGTGTTTTCATTATAATCCTTTAAAATAGTATGGTATTCTCAAATTGGTAAGGAAAAAATATTTCCCTTGCTAAAACATCCTAAAATTGACCATACGATGAGAGAGATCTTATGTTTTAAGCTTCATTAAACTGCCTTTTGTCAAGAATGATGAAAACGAGGAACTACAGAAATTTTATGCAAGCAAGAAGAATTTCTACTCACCAAAACCTGCTTCCCACAAAGAAAACCCATGATGATAACTGTTTGTAGAGCCGAAAGCAGAGGGAGGAGATTGCACCAAACACTATGGATATATAATTCTTCCTTTCTTCACTTTCATATAAAATACGAAGTGAGAAAGATATCCTTCTCCAGTTCAGACTAAAACTTCAACTTAACAACAGTAAATCTCGCACTTACCATTGTAGAGTATGTATGTTAATTTACCCATTGTCTTTATATTTCAATAATACTGTCACTTCTGTTTCTAGCGTCTAGTAGCTTTCACCAAGATGTAAATAATATATGTGTACATAAGAACATTCTTGAAAGTTAGACAGAAAGCTTTTGCAGCAACGCTGACCGTTGTGATGGTTCATCGCCAAGCTCCGAGACGTTTTTTGTAGTCAGCTTTTCTACTGTCGAACCCCTTTCGCGTTTAGATTTGAGCCAACGCTTATTTGGCTTTTGCTCTGTGAATATCCAGCATTAATTTTACTTTGAATTTTAATTCTTTTTCTGTATTATTTGAAATTCCCTCAAGCTACAGAAATTTAAGACGTAAGCTCAAGTTGTGCATTATTTCAGTTTAAGTTTTCAATTAAAAGCTCTTTCAGACCTTCTTCTGACTAGGTTGCCATTTCCATAGATGGGGCGATAAGTCACCCCCAACTAAGGATCAACGATTTCGGCGATAAGTCCAAGTAGGATTCACGAAATGAAGTTAATTAAGGAACGAAACTCTACACTGTTAGGGAGATGATAATTCCCGAAAATTGTACATTTAGTCAACACTTTGACGCATGAGAAAAAAATTTTGGGGTCATTTTTGGAAAGAAACGAGCTTTGGACCTTTTGGACTTTTAGCGCAGGATATCCATAAACGTTAATACATTCAAAGGCTTTCTTTTATGCTTATAAATAAAACATTTAAAACATTGACTGAAATGAAAAAAACACTGCATAAATCTGATATGATTTTCTTTAAGTGTGTGAAAAGTTCAAAATGATAATCATGTTTTTATCGCATTTTTTAAAATCATTTAAGTTTGTGGATAATCGATCTTGTAGTATCATAAAGACACTACAAGAAATCTATTCATTCGTATTATGATAGCACCTTTGAATAATCTTAGCGAATGGAAGATTGGTTTCAGGGTGTCTTTGAAACTGAAGTCGAATGAAGTAGCAGACTGAAACCCACGAGCTCCCGGTAACAAAATATTCATTGTCTTAAGAGATTGTTCTTCACGAACATTTTGGAACATTAAAAGAGCATGGTCTTCGTTTAGTAGCATTCTGAGTTTAGTTTATTTTTACTTTTCAGCTAATGAATGTCAAATTAGTGCATTATATATAGGGAAGAATTATGTTCATATAAAATCATATCAGTCATTTTGGAAAGCACTGATTCATTAATTTCAAATATTTACCTGCCTTGGAATGCATATTGTTTAACATGCATATAAATTTTGCTAATGAATAAATTTCTTTCGTATGATCTGTAATTTAGGTTTTGGCATCAAGCAACCTATTGGCCATATAAACTTTTATCCTGAGGGAGGTGAAGTGCAAGCAGGATGTCAACCTTCTTTAAAAGTTCTTAATAATTTTAAAAATGAAATGAAGGATATCTGGTACAAAAACTTATTCCAAGCAATGAGCAAGATAATTACAAAACGGATAAAGGAAGAAGGTAAAGCATTTAAAAAATATACTCATATATGTAACAAATTTGCATTATCATATTCTTTTGTGCATAAACCGCACTTTTCTTCACGGAAAGGCAAATGAAAATAGAGGTGGGGCCTATATATGCAAATGAAATGTATTACAAACATTTAGCAACATGGCAGTGCGTATCTAACGAATCAATACGAGATCCATTAGGTAAACATTTCATACGATTGTACATGTTTAGTTATGATTGCAGGTCTTGAGACATGCTGCGGGTTACCGGTACTAATGATACTGGTAATGCAGGTAAATATTTTAGTAGTATCGACAGTGACAGTGAATAAGATGTAGTAAACCAGAAACATTTTCCTTTCGACCTATAAGAAAAAAAATTTATTCATTGTATGGTAATTATCTTCATTTTAGCTGCCTTCTCACCTTTAAAATGGGAAAAAAAAATATTATAGATCGGGTGTCGCCTCGCGGCAAAAACATCGCGGAGAAAAACAACACAAAGCGAAATGCATTTCCGGCTACGATTCAATATAGCAAACATTTGAGTTTCGTCTAAAAAATCTTAAACTTTTTACCTTTATTACTAATCAGAGAGCTTTTAGAGAAACAGTGAACAAATAATCTGAAAAACAGATATTTTGTGTACAGATTATTAAGAATTTGACATAGTGTTTGTTCTTTGGGGAAAAAATGCTACTTTCTTGTAATATATTCATGTTCTTAGGTTATGTTCTTATGTATATTCATGTTGTTGTTACGTCTAATCGTATAAAATTATTACAAAATTATTGCTAGTACTGCTTTTTTCCTGAAAACTAAGGCCAGTTTATGCCTGATGTCAGTTGGATAATTCAGACGCGCCCAAAAAGAAAAATATTATCACTTTTAAAAAGTTAGGGTTACAGCTTTATTTAAATATTCAAATTTTCAAATCTTAATGATTTTTCCTTTATTTATCAAATTATCCATTGTTCAGTCCAAATTTTCCAATGTTTATAATGTCAGTAAGAAGTAACAGTTTAATTATAAAGTCAAATAAAAATTCGAGGGACGGCCCTTTCAGCCACCTAGTATTTTTAACGCAACTTCTGAACAGAGCGAGAATGTTGTTTATTTAAGCTGTACTAAACAACAAACCGTTAAGAATTTTGTACATATACGTTAATTTTAGTGCAATTATACGTGAAATTTTAGTGGAATTATACGTGATTTTTTTGTCTAATATAACATAAAATCTGGAAAGAGAATGCTGTGCCGGAAAAATAAGAATGCAGGGATAAGTCTATTAAATATTGAGTAAATGGCTGTCTCGCTTTGGCGACTAATTTTGTTACCACATTTGCGGAGAATTCGCCAAACTTGGCGACCATTTAGAGACACTTGATTCCAGTTCCTGCATCACCGCAATATGCATTGTAATTGATATCAGATGCAACTGTAACAGTATCCAGCCACATATGTCCTCCAGTAATTTGAAGAAGTAATAGACACTCTCGGCGGCCGGGTGAAAACTACAAAAGGCCGAACAGAGCATCTGCTCTCAAGGTTATACTCAGTGCGTGCAGTTGTTCTATTCACGTAGGCGGACAGCGAAGTTGCTCGTACCTTATTCTGTGGTTTTGAGATTTCTTCAGTAGTGTGCCCTTAGGGTAGCACAAAAATGTCCTTTTTCAAGCCAGCAACTGCTAGATCAGATGACGATTTTAGCGAATATTCGGATTCGGAAAGTCTGCAATCGCTATGAAATCGCAACCTAAATCCCAGGCATGCAGAGTTTCTACAGACTTCGCCGATTTATTTAAGAAAGGAAGGGAAAAGAAGGTGAAAACTCTTGCGGAAACTGAGAAAACTGCCTTCAAACAACCTGCTGATGTGGATGGCAAAGGTTACGTTGTGGAGTTACTAAAGAAAATTGTTAAAGAAATGAACTTAAAACAGATGGGAAGAGAGCTGAAGAAAGCTAAGACTAACAGCGAAGCCAAGGAAAGCTGCAGCACAAGTGGGTACTAAGAATGACGAAAATGCTATGGATACCAGTTCTACCCAAAAAGGAAAAGACGATAGAAATGAAAAAGATGCTTGGATAATCCCTAAAAAGACGTCTAAAGTGCAGAAAAATCCCGAAGCGACGGTAATCAAGAAAAGTAATAGATTCGACTCGCAGGAAAAGATGCAAGAGGAGGAGCCAGAAGGGGGGCTACCCAGACAAAGACCCCCCTCCTCTCGATTGCGTTTCAGAGTAAAGCCATTGATTGGTTGAAAACCGAGGAAATCTTTCTAAAGTTCTCTGCGGAGAGTTTTGAAGCCGAAATGAAAGCCAATTCAATATATGTGATTATCAAATCGTCTAACGGCTATAGAACAGTTACCAAAATTATCCAAGAAAGAGACATTCCAATTCATACCTTCAGAATGAACTTTGAGAAGCCCTTACGGTTTTTTTTTTTTTTTTTTTTTTTTTTTTTTTTTGAAAAACATACCGGACAACGTGACTGAAGAAGCAATATTTCAAGACCTAGAAAGCAGAAATTTCCCAATATTGAAAATGAAGCAATTTCACAGAAACAAGAAAAACAACCAGGAGAAACTTCCAATTTTTTTATTGGAATTAACGAAAAATAAATCAGGATACTCCATTCATAACCTGAACTGTATGTTCAGTGTTAATATTAGGATAGAGAAATTTTTATCAAGGAGATGCCCCATACAGTGTTTTTGCTGTCAGGAGTGGGGCCATTCTGAGCATTTATGTTCTAATTTAAAACGCTGCTGTAAGTGTGGTGAAAACTACAGAAGTATCTAATGTAAGTTAAAGCCAGAAGAACCTCCAAAGTGTATTTTCTGCGGAAATTCACACTTGAGCAGTTACCGCGGGTGCAAGGTGTGCAGAAGAAAATTTGAAAATAAGAGCTCACCGCCGAAGAAGACTACTACCCCACCTACAGCTGCAGATTTCCCCTAAAATTAACCAGCAAAAGCGAGGAAGGAAAGCAGAAACAATCCGAAAAGCCACTTTACAGTTAACGAAAACGTTCAAGCCGTTGTCGGAGGAAGCAAACGAAGCTTTTGATTGGCTCCGAGATAAGCAGGTCAACAAATTCCTAAGAACGGTAATTTCTCAAGTAGAAAAGATAAATGCTACCACAACAGTGGAAAAACTTTTTGCCGGTTTTAATGCGGCAGTGACTCTGATGAAGTGAGCAGAATGTGAGGACTAAGAAGATGATTGAGAGACCACAGAATTGGTCTGGTAAGACTTTGATTTACTGCTTAATGTATGAACTTTCACGAATTACTGCTTACTTTGTCGATTACCAGACACCGATATTTGACACCGGTCAACTTTTTCTCCCCTGCGGGCGGAGGTATAGGTCTACGCCCTCTGATCTAACAAAAACTAAAGCGATAGGCCATTGGCACCATTCGATCTATAGGTTAAAACTCTGTAGTAGTTGGTACCTAAAACCAAGTGATGATTCCTTGATTTCTGCTCTCAGCTGTTATTGCGAATTGTTAATTCAGCATGAATTCGGAGTACTGAGATATCCCCAGATTAGCTTCCTCTTTAGATGTGTTTTGCATTGTGTTGTGTTTAACATTCTTAGTACTTTGATGTGCAACTACTGATTGTACTCTGTGATACTGTGAACACCTGTACGCGTATTTCTGTGCAACGTTTCAGAACTCTGAAGTGTTTCTTTGGATAAAATGAATTTTACCAACCAGTCATCGGACCTTTGTGCTTTCAATATATTACGAACCCGTACGCACGCAACAATAGGATAAAATTGCATTATTCTATTACATTATTTTTAATCACTGCTTACGAAATGAAGATGATACACATCATTATTAAAGTTTTTTTATGCTTGTTAAATATGTATAAATAAAGGAAGCCATAATTCATAGGCATTAAAAAACATCATAAATTCAAATTTTTTTGCTGAGAATGAAAAATATTTTGAATCTGATGGACATATTTTCCAAACTGAAGTAATTTTTTTCAAGTACATAAATTTCAAACATTATAGTTTCAGAATTGTGCTAAATTTCACATATTATGTTTTCAGAATTGAGCTATATGCGTTTATTTTCTAAATACTATTTCTGACGTTAAGAGGAAACTAAAATTTTGAATCTGAGGAACATGATTTTCCAAACTTAGGTAATTTTTTTGTATGAACATAAATTTCAAACATTATAGTTTCAGAATTGTACTAAATTTCAAACATTATATTTTCAGAATTGAGCTGTATGCGTTTATTTTCTAAATGCTATTTCAGACCGTTAAGAGAAAATTAAAATTTTCCAGAAACATGCTTTAATCTGTCAAAATAACTTTAAAAATTTAATGTGCAGTTTTTATACACAAAATTATGCAAATTTGCTTTTTTATTTAAGGAATAATAAAATTTTGGTTTATGTCAAGAAAAAAATACACATATAAATACGAACAAGTGAAAAAAAATAAGAGCTATGCAAATAAATGAAATCGTTATAGCGACAGATAAAACTGTGGTTTTTTTCCAATTCTACTTTTCGAAATCTGTTTTATTGATTCCCTGTTGTTTCCAATTCTATGACAAACGCCCACAGGACTGTCTTTCTTTATTTCTCTCTCGTTTACAATGTGTGTTAGTTGTACATTAATCTTTAAAAAAATTATACAAAGTTAAATTTATAATAAGCACATAGCCCTTAAAGAGTAAATGATGATACTTCTAACATCCACGGGTATGAAGACGTTTGTTAGAATTGGAAATATATGATTACTTTAGCGAACGCTTAAAAAAATGATCGGAAATTCCTCTTTAAAGCGACCACACAAGATTCCATTCGCTCGTGGATGAAGGCCCACCAGCGGCCGAGTTGGTTCTGAGGTTCGAATACAGCGAACGGGCTGGTTGCATGGCCGTTTTCGTGGTTTCCCCCCCCCCCATGTGTAACGTGTATACGAGCCAGTTTCCCTTAGAAAGTCCTCCACGAAGGGATCCCTCCCCTTAGGCAGATTGCACTCGAGGCTTTACTGTAATCATATAAACCAAACCAAACATCTGGTGTATGAATTCTTGCAATAATGATCAAAAACCTATGTTTTTTCTGCTCTCAGAAAGACGTCTCTTAGGTCGTCTTAGGGAAATATCAGTATTTCAAAGAGGGTTCACTGCAATTATATATTATTTCTTAAAAAAAAAAAAAAAGAAATTTGCATTTAAATTTTATGGGTATAATTTTAAATTTGAATATTCCAATGACTGATATAAAAAAAAATATTTTCCGTTAATATTCCCATCCTGAACTGGCCACCAGCGACCGATCTGTAAAGTTGCTGAAACTGGTATTTCGACACGGCTTAGAAGCTCGCTGCCTGACATTCTTGTGATTTTCCTAGTATATAATGCAGATATGAAGTAGTTCCTGAGAAAGTAGTCCACAAAGCAGTCCCTTCCTTTAATCAAATAGTCCTAGTGTGCTTTAGTATAATCCACTTAATCTAAATCCTCTACTAAAATATTATGCAGCTGACTTCCGTCATAACTAAAAAATCGACAACCAAATGATTGGCTGCATGCTATACATGAAAATGTTAACGACTATTTAAGAACAAACGGAAACAAAAGATATAATTTTCACTAAAAATATATCAGATTAACAAACGTGGAAGAAAGTAATTTGATAATTAATAAAACAATTTTTATAGAGTTATTCTCATGCAATTACTTATCTGCTTTTCCTAAACGTTTTTAGAATATATTTTTTATGAAAAATTATCATTAAAACTAACGTAAACTTATGAGAAAGATTATCATAAAGATTAATGTATTCGTGACATTTATTAGACAAGTATGCAGATTTAAGTTTCTAATTAGTGGTATAAGTTGCATTAATGTTCTGTTCATTTTCCGTTTGCAAATGCTTAAGTATCCTTCTTACTTTTTCAACAAAAATGTATTAGTTCATTCAAAATTATGAAGTGTAAAAATAAAAATATTCCTCTTTCCTCTTTGTGCTCACAAATCGTTATGCAAATATGCATTTACAACTTTTAAAGCCTGAAAAACCTATGTGTGCGATGTTATGATTTGTAGGGGCTTTATTTTTTACCACGATATTCTCACGACAAAGTCTTTAAACTAAGGAGTTATTTGAACCGCTTATTTTCGATGATGATATTTTGTTTCAGAACTGCGATGTTTTCTCTTTGCTTTCTTTTCTTCCACGATGTTTTGTACCACGACGCTTTCGCCTTGTGTTATTTTCTCCGCTACGTTTTCGTCCGCGATGTTTTCGGCTGTAACTGTAGATCGTAGACAAACTGTGCGTGGATTATTCTCGATTCTTTTTTATTAGAGGTAAAAATTAAGAGGCAGCTTATTACATGCTAGAATATGATAATTATATTTTGTTCTGCACTATATTAAAAAATTGACAAATATTGTTTTATTGATACACATAGATGGCCTGTATGAGACATGCTGTCTAAGGTCATATTCCTCTTGCCATCTCGGGGTAAATTTCTGTTCTAATGCATATAAAAAAGCTATCCTTAGGCTTAAAGTTTTGTTGCCTTCAGCCAAATCGAAGAACATTAGAGTACCTTAACCAGAAGCCAAACTTTCATTTTTGTCAATCAAATTGCAAAAAATTTGAAGACCGTATAATCAAGAACTAAAACCCATTTTTGCTAATTAGATGTAGTTTTTGTATAATGAATTTAATTTTGCTCATATATACTAGGTTAATCGGCGTGAACATCTTCAATAACAAAGTACTCTAGCATGCTCATCAACTAACATTCGTTCGTTATTAAAATTCTGGCTTGTGATTTAAATTTGAATAGCAACCTGCTCTGGGTGATTATCTATAATGTGAGACAAAGAGAAGATAGTGCTATCTTAATTTTTACTGGATTAGAAAAGATTATTCAGATAATTGCAAAGCACTCCAGGGTAATCCGCCTAAGGAATAACTCTTCGTGAAGGACTCTTTAAGAGAGACTACCTGTGGTTCACGTTCCATGAGGAAAATCATGAGAACTTTCTAACAGCCATCCCGTTCACCAGGATTAAACCGTTAGGAGAACTTAAAATAAATGTCACAAGTTGCTGGCAAGTTTTGTTACTAAATTATTAAGTGTTATTTTGAACTTTCTAAAGCTTTTTTTCCTTTTTTTTTTTTTTTTTTTTTTTCAGTGACGAAGTTAATTCAAGACTTGTCCTGTAGTCATTCAAGGTCAACACAGCTGTTTATTGCAAGTATTAGACTATGTAAATTTGAATCTGTAACTTGCGAAAGTTGGGAACATTTCAGCAACTGTAAAAATGTATCTTCAAAACTCATGATGGGATTTTATGCAAACAAAAATATAACAGCAAGTGAAACAGATGAGAAATTTTACTTGAAAACTGACGAATCTTACCCTTATTGTAAATGAGGAAAACTCGTGTAACATGTATTAAGACTACAATGTTTTTATTCTGTTTGAATTTATTGTACAATTTTAAACTGTAGCTCTTAAATGAAAAACTAAAAATTAATTATATAATAAAATGCATATATATACAAAAACGTCTTTATTTTAGTTCCATTCTTATATCACAGTACAACATCAGATATTGAAGTATTTATGATTTAAAATGAGCATAGAGTAAGATGAATAATAACAACAACTTATTTCATTTAGCTGTCTCTACATCAAGGCAGAAAGGAAACTTGCCAAGGTAAAACATGAAATTAGCAAAGCAACAACTTTATGTTTGGATTAGTCTATCGATTTCGAGGGCAAACAGGTGCAGGTCCCACTTCATCAGGAGCAAAGAAATCTGCAACGAAGAGAAAGCCACGGTTGTATTTATACCAAACAGCAGTAAAGCGAACGTGTTAAGTAGTAAGTTTTTAAGTTAATAAAAGTAATTAAGTTAATAGACGCTCTCTATTATCCTAATTTTTTCGACTTTCTTTATTATTTCTGCCGGCATATGAGGCTACATTTTCGTTCGCTTTACTCTTTTGGGGTATGAATACAACCTGTCTTTCCTTTCGTTGCAGATTTCTTTGTTCATGATGAAAAGGGTACTTGTTTGGCCTCGAAATCGATAGTCTTGATTAAAATCTTTACCAAACACAAGGTTGTGGATTATTAATTTTATGTCTGTAAATCATTTCAAAGACTTACCCTGAATTCAATACATCTGAAATGCAAAACAAGTAAAATCAAATTCAAATGCATGAGAAGCAAGATACAAATCTGTTTGATGACAAGGCTCAAACATTAGGCTCTGTATTTTTCATACTGAATTACAACAACCAAGATTCAGATAGCATCAGCATTATTTTCTATTAAGTTAGTGACTTGCTTTTAACGTATCTACAGAAGAGAGGAAAAGAACTTTTTTTTTTTTTGCACAAAATCAGTAACTTAGTTTCTCTTTAAACTACAAGCTTTTATTTCAGCTTTCGAGCAGAAATGAATTATAACACAAATGTTTTAATATTCCCGAATGTTTAATATAATTACTTAAAACTGTAAACTTGGAAACTGATATTGATCGCTCTTTCTTAGTATAAAATACTTATATGTTACTATTTTTCACAGTAAAACTACATGAGTATTAAGGAACATTACGAAAATTTGAACAGAAGTTATTATTTTACTTAGCGAAATAAAGCAAATATCCCTTCTTGTCAAGATATAGTTATTGCCAACTTACACACCATTAAATATATAAATACTAGTGTTTTTAGCTAAAAGATACGTTTGTATCATACTGGTCCACAACAGGAGATTCCTTATCTTGCTCTTAGCAGTTCCTTAACGAGCCTGGAGGAGGTAAAAAACATGAGCGAATTGTTTAGATAAAAGATTACCCATTAATACGTATATATATAGCATTTGCCAGCATTCACACAATAAGTATAAATAGGAAGTTTTAATAACCAAAAAGACACTAAAATATAAATCTTACAGATAACGAAAATCACTTCGCATTGGCTAAACGCCCACAACTCTTCGCTCCCCCCTACCTACGTCATCCAAAAATAAGACGATTGAATTTAGCAGCCATTTTTCTGCATGTTTCCAGAGGGACAGCTTTACATCGCCGAAGGTCAGTTTTTTGTTTCTTTTGTTACAACTTTTTCTTGGTCTTAGCAAGACCCACTGAGTTGTTCTTTTCTCAATTTTATTTTATATTGATTATTAACTACAAGTTTTCTTACAGTTTCATAAAATCTACAGTTTTTAAAAATTAAATTGTTAATCTTTAAGCTTGCAGGCCCAGCCCGAATATATTTGTATTTTTAGGACTAATAGCTCATCGCTATTTATTTTCGTTTCGATTTTAATTTTAGACTAGATTTAGAAAGTTTGATTTTGATTTACATATTTTAACACCTTAATGTGTCTTTCTGAGCGGACACGTCGGGAAATTGGAACAGAGAATTGAGACTATTAAAATTTCCAAGACACTTTGTCAAAAATTTTTTTAGCGAAAAAGTTTCAATTGTCTGTTTCGGCGAAACGCGTAATGGGGTTAGCTTGATTCGACGTTCAAACAATTGAAATTTCCCTTGAAAAGCCTGTTTGGATGTCGAATTGGGCTAATTTACCATTTTCCGCTTACTTTTTAACTTTTACTGTTATTTAATTTTATTGTATTTATGTTTTACATGTCTAATGATTTGCTTTTCATGTGTATTAATTTTTGAAAACGTCTTTAAACCTTTTGGAGCAGCAGCTCTTGGTAACTTTTAGGCGAGCTTTCTACAATTTTTATTTTTTACTTATTTTGCAGCATATTGCGCAAGATGTTTTCTTGACCAAAATTGTTATTACTGCTTTGCTTGATAAATTATATATATATATATGTGTGTGTGTGTGTGTGTGTGTGTGTAATGACAGCAAACTTTTATTGAAACGAAGCAAACGTAGCTATAATGTTGTAGGATAAGTTGATAGCGTAGAATGCTAAAATGTTGAATCCGGAATGAAAAGCAAACTTGACAGTCGAGGCATATTAAAATATTCATTTTTATTTTAAATGACATTTGCAGCCGGAATTCACTCGACACTCTAATTGTGCTTATTAATGAACATTTATATTTTGATACTGTTCTGATTATAAGACGACAGCAAGGAAATGTCTTAGCGAGATCAGAGGTAAAAGCAAAGGTTCGCAGTTATTCATTAAGAAAGCTCATTAAGACAAAAGTTTCGGTTTAATTTCCAAATTAGCTATGTCATCAGCGTTATCCAAGTCATGTGTGTCTCAACCGGTGGTACGCAAGAGAAAAGTAGGCGGTACACAAAGAAGCAAAGTATTTTTAACTATTAAATTCAAAAATTAAAACCCATCATCTTAATTGGGTTTTTTCTCTAACGTCGTAAATTTATGCGATCTGAGCTTTGTTCAAGAATAGTGGTGTTTGTAGTACTTAGATATATATTAGGTAGGTTGTAGTACTAGATATAGTACTTAACAAAAAGGTTTAGATTAATCTAGAAGTGATGCAGTCCAGAAAAAAAGGCATTATTATTTTTAGAACAGAGAGGTGTACTAATTAACTGTCTATCTTTAGTTTCTTTTTCTAATGTCAAATTGTGAACAATTACAGTGTAGCACAGTCCATTAATCTATACAAGGCCAGATGTGGTGATCTCTTTATTATGAAGGCACCTAATAGGTGGGCCACCATCGCCTCTTATGAAGGGACGAAAAATTACAACCATGCCTTCTCCGGGATTCAAATCCGGACCCTTCCGTGTTGCAGTCAGTCTGGGCTATACCGTCTGGGTTAAATTTTATTGAACATTTTAAACTGATACACAGAGAAACTGATAAAATTTTACATTTTTATCGGAGTACTTTTAATGCGGAGACTTTGCACAAAAAAGCACCAATATTGAAGAAGATTTTTAATTGTGTTATTTTACCAAAACTTTTTATGGAATAGGTGCTTGGGGCGCTAGGGCAGGGGAGTTGATCCGTTTAAGAGATAAATTAAATACTTTGCAGAGAAGCTGGATGCTGGCAGTAACGAGAATCTTCAGAACTGTTTCTACAGATGTGGTCTGTATTCTCTCTGGTATTCCACCCCTCTCTTCCCAGTATAAATTTTATTATCAGAAATTTTTACTCTTGAATAATTTGGTTGATTTTATAAATATTAATGATTGTACCATTAAAAGTGATGCTTTCCAGAGCTTTAATGATGCTTGTATTCATCCTAGTAATAGAATTTCGATTTTTTATCTTGTATTTATATTATTTGTATTTATCTTAAATGTCAAGAGCTGGATATCTTTACAGATGGTTCAGGGCTCGAGGGGGCTATTGGAGGTGCTTTTGTTGTTTTCTTTTACGGAATTGAAATTTATAATTGGAGATTTAAATTATGTGTTATGAATTCCGTTTACCAGGCCGAAATGTATACAATCTTTGAAGTTTTCAAATGGATTAAAAGAACACTGAGAATTGGTTATTGTATAAATATTTATTCTGATGCATTGTCGGTGCTGCAAGCCCTCTCGGGTCATGAAAATAGAAATTCTCTTGTATTTGATATAAAAAATTTATATATACAACTGAAAAATATTCATAATATAAAGGTTCATTCGATGAAAGCACACGCTGGTTTTGAAGGGAATGAGAGGGCTGATGAATTGGCAAAGTCTGCGGTTACTGATGAGAATGTTATAGGTAAATATATTCCAGATTCTAAAAGAAGGGCCACCTCTGTTTTATTTAAATATATTTTGCATGAATGGAAGACTAATTGGGAACTTTCCAATAGAAATCATGGTTTACTAAAAAATATAAATATAGGAAAGAAAATGGAGATATATAAAGATATTGACGCAAATCAAATTTTATCGGGACATGGTCGGTTCCCTGCATACTTAAAACGTTTTGGTTTACAAGACAACGAAAAATGTAATATATGTAAGGTTATTGGAGACTCGAAGCACTTTTTTGAGGACTGTGTTATTACCGGGAGAGAAAGGGATAGGTATCGAAAACATTATAATAGTGATTTCAAAAGAAATTATAAGAATTTTGAGGAATATGCTAAATTATGAAGATTTTAAACAGTTCCAGAGAAACCATAGGGATTTATGTTTAAATGTTGTATTTGTATTTGTGTATGCTTGTTTATGTGTCGTTTTATTTTTTGTTCTTTAACAGTTCTTTATTATTTTATTATGTTCGTTTGTGTGAATGTATTAGGTCCAGTGATAATGTGAAATTCACTGGTCGTATTTATTATTTCGTTTAGTTTACCTTTTACTAACTTCTTTAGTTACTCGGTTCCTGGGGCTTTTGGTTTTCCGGGGCTAATAGTTTAATTTTTTGTTTTGTTATCTTTTATTAGTTGTTTTGTGCACGGCCGGATCGCTGGCTCCTCGTTTGTTGTTGGATGGGCTGGCTCCCGAGAAAAGTCATAAGACCAAGTTATCTTGGTTAAGTGGGCTGGGGGCTGCGCCCCGTTATTACACCGTCTGGGC